GGAAATCAGTAAGTGATTTCCCTACACAAGTTGTATGCAAATGCCCCCAGGGGCAGTGCAGCCGGTGGGGCTCCCATGGACACACTTGGTTAACCTGCCGGGGGCAGTAGAGACACCCAGAGGGAGGGTCCGGCGTTCCGGTAGACTCCTGGGGTTACAGAGACAACCCAAGACCCTCCTGCTGACCATGGTTGGGGGCTAGTCCACAGCCTGCGAACCTTGCTTACTTTTTCTGGGCTATAAAGGTAAAACCAACTGAGACCAAGATCCAGACGAAACTGGTTTGGCTCAGTGGATAGAGTGTCGGCCTGTGGACTGACAGGTCCCGGGTTCGATTCCAGTCAAGGGCATGTACACTGGTTGCGGGCACATCCCCAGTAGCGGGTGTGCAAGTGGCAGCTGATCGATGATTCTCTCATCGATGTTTCTAGCTCTCTATCCCTCTCTCTTCCTCTCTGTAAAAAATCAATAAAATATTACCACACACACAATCTTGTCGATTTTTCTTTTACAGTTTTCTTGAGATATAATTCATATACCATACAATTCATTCATTTCAATGTAATGGTTTTTAGCCTCAGGATTTTTGCACCACTCAATGATATTGAACATATATGTAACTTGTCACTACTATTAATCATTTTTTTGAATCACAGTTGGCATTATTTTCTTAGACTATGATCTTGAAACCTCTTAAATTTGGGGAACTAGGCCTTGTGGAGAGAGGAGGTGTTCTTCTGAGGATTTAACATCGTTGTTCGTCTTGGTTTTGGTTTGGTTTTTCTAGAGGGGTGTTTGGATAGAATTTGGAGTCATAGGAGAAGTTGGTATGAAATTGTTGGGTTATTTGACTCATGATGCCTCTTTCACTCTCTCCTATATCACCTGAATGATGCTCACCCTCAAACTCACACACACGGTGTAATTAGGGGAAGTTGATAGTTGATTCTGGTTCAATGAAGAACACTGTCCTCACACACACACACACACACACACACACACACACACACCTGCAGAGCCACCTTGAAATTTATGTCTTCAGTGAAGGTTGCCCATTTTTTAAAAAATTTTATATATATCTTTATTTCAGAGAGGAAGGAGAGGGAGAGAAAGACAGAAACATCAATGATGAGAGAATCATTCATCAGCTGCCTCCTGCACACCCCTTACTGGGGATGGAGCCAGCACCCCGGGCATTTTGCCCTGACTGGGAATCGAACCATTATCTCCTGGTTCATAGGTTGATGCTCAACCACTGAGCCACGCCAGCTGGGCTAATTGCCCATCTTAATCCGCACCACGCACACCGACGGAGGGCTGGTAAGGAGAGGTGGTGCGTCTCCACCAGTTCCATGAGGTGGCCATGCTACCCACCCACAGACCACGCGAACATGCTCCATGCGGCCGCGGGAGGACTGGCTGCAGGTTCCAGGGCTGAGGTCGGAAGCGTCAGCCGCATCCCAGAGCGCGCTGCGCCAGAGCCGTGTGTGGGTGAGCCCTCCGGCAGGGCTGCAGGTGTGGAGCAGGTTACGTTAGATGGGTGTGGAGTGTGGGCTCAGTGGTGAGGATCAGAGGAGGGCGCAGGGAGGGTGGATGGAGTCAGAGGTGGGCGAGGGTGGAGGCAAGGAATGCGGCCCCAATTGGAGGTGGACCTGGTGGTTAGACCAGTGGTTTGCAACCATTTTTAGGTCATGGCTCCTTTGAGAATCTCATGGATGCTAAGGAAAGGATACATGTGTGCATGCGTACACACACACACACACACACACACACACATTTTACACACAGTGTTGGGGGTTTCTGGAACCCGGAAAGTTCATACAAGGATTCCAGTTTAAAGACTTTTGAGCCTCAAAAGGAAGGTGGGGGAGGGTAGGTAGGAGGCATAACCCATGGACACAGACCATAGGTGGAGACATTGGGTTGGGGCGGAGGTGGGCTGGAAGGGGTCAATGGTGGGGATTGGGGGGGTGGGGAAGGGGACATATGTAATACTTTCAACAGTAAAGATTAAAAAAAGAAGAACTGGTCTTGACTAGTTTGCAAAAACTTGTCAGGAAGAAATCCTAAGGCTGTGTTAAGAGATTGAGAAGGGTTCTGGCCGGGCAGCTCAGTTCATTAGACTCTAACCATTAGCATCCAACGTCCTGATACACCGAAGATACCATCCCTGGTCAGGGCTCAAGGACCAACCAATGAATGCATAGATGGGTGAAATACCAAATGGATCTCCTCTCTCTCTCTCTCTCTCTCTCTCTCTCTCTCTCTCTCTCTCAAAATAAGTAAATAAATATTTTAAAAAAGAGATTGAGAGTGTTTGTGTTTTCCTGTGTGCAGGTTTGGGAATTAAATTCCTAAGTCCACTTAGTTCACGAATGCTTCATTTTCTTCCAGGTTTTATTTTCAAAATGGTCAACTCTGCCAAAACATCACAAGCTCCTGCGGCCCAACCGAGTTCTCCAGGAGCCCACGTGTTTCCGCAGAACCATCGGAGGGTGAGCTGTAGATCCGATGGCACTCCTTCCCTAAACACCCGGCAGGTGCCTTCTCAGATCGAGACATTCTCCTGCGAAACCAGTGTATCCTCACCCGCACGACCTGGAACTGGACGGTTATGTAACGTATATCCCCCTCTCCCCTATTCAGATTTCCCCAGCAGTCCCAGGAGCATTCCTTTAGCTGTGTGCTTTTTCCTTCCCCCCTCCTTTCCTTCCCGCCTTTTCTATCCAGGACCCAATCCAGACACATAGATACAAATCTCTCAGGCTCCTTTCATCAAGGACACTACTGCTGACTTTTGTTTTCTTTTGTCATATTGAAAAAAAATTTTTTTTTTTAATCCTCACCCCAGGCTACGTGTCCCATGGATTTTTCAGACAGAGCAGAAGGGAGGGAAGGGGGTGGGGGGTGGGGAGAGAAAGACATTGATGAGAGAGAGACACATTGATTGGTTGCCTCCTCCTGCATACGCACCCTGGGGCTGGGGATTGAGCCTGAGACCGAGATACATGCCCTTGACCGGGAAATTGAACCCAAGACCCTTCAGCATAGGGGGCTGATGCTCCAACCACTGAGCCAAACCGGCCGGTGTGTGACATTGACATTTTTGAAGAGTCAGGCTAGCTGTTGTATAGCGTGCCCAACCGCCCCCCCACCCCCCCGCCCGGTTTGAATTTGTCTGATTGTGTCCTTGTGATGAGATTCAAGTTGAGCATTTTGGGCAGATGCCATGTGCCTTCTTGGTGCATCATGCTAGAGGGCCGGGTGGTCCCTGGTTGAAGATCAGTTTGATTCATGGTTAAAGCGATGAACTCTGGGTTCCCCTTTGGAATTAGTGAGTGAGCTGTGGGGTTACACTGGGTTCACTGAAAGCCTCCGACTGAGGGCAAGTGCTGGGTGAGTCAGGGATGAGCAGACAGACCCAGTCCTTCCTCTCATGCTATTTTTTTTTTTTGCAGTCAAGGAGGCAGACGATAAGTTAGGAAACAAATAAAAAATTGCAAAATATGGCTGCTGGACAGTGTTCTAAGCGTCTTACATGGTTTACTTTGCCTGATGCTCCCCATTGACCTATGTAGTAGGTGCCATCATTATTATTATTTTTAATATATTTTATTGATTTTCCACAGAGAGGAAGGGAGAGGGAGAGAAACTCAATCAGCTGCCTCCTGCACACCCCCCACTGGGGATATGCCCGCAACCAAGGTACATGTCCTTGACCAGAATTGAACCTGGGACCCTTGAGTCCACAGGCCGATGCTCTATCCACTGAGCCAAACCACTTAGGACCACAAATTTGCTTTTATTTTTTTATTTTATTTATCTCCCTCCCACCCCCAATCGCTTTAAAAAATATATTTATTAAATTGATTGGGGGTGCCATGGGTCAACATGAACGTATCGGTGTCAGGTGTGGGCTTCTATGTTACAAACCCTGTATAATTGCACCCTGTGTCCACCACCCAAAGCCAAATCTTCTCCTCCAGTCACCTTATATTTATCAGGACCACCCCCTCTTCTCCCCCCCCCCCCCCCCCCCCCCCCCCCCGCACATTGCTTTTTCATGACAAAGGGGAAAACAGGAACTTCACAGTGAGCACCTCCGCACCCTCACCCGCCCTCCAGCTTAAGCAAGGGGCCGATGTGAACGCTCAGAGGGCGCTTGGGCAAGGGTGGGGAGGAAGAGCGGGGTTTGGGAGGAAGGCTCTGGACGCAGGGGGCAGGGAAAGTCTCGGGATAGACGAGTTTCGATAGGGACAGGGCAGGCTCCATGCGGAAGAGGGGTGTCCGGGGGAGGGATGCACACATCTCGAGGTGGGGAGCCCTAAGAGCGGCTCATTGGAGAGGACTTGATGGGAACAGGTTGGGGTGCAGGAGGTCCGAATTAGGGTCCTTGTAGGAGGTGGGGTGGGTCAACTCCGGATGAATAGAGGGTGGAGGGTTGCCGTAGGGATCCCGACAAGGGTACGCAAGGGGTGAGCAGCAGATCTGGGGGGGGTGGAGGGGTGGGGGCCCTCTGGGAGCCCATCAGCCAGGGAGAGGCGTGAGCTCGGCAGCGGGTCTGGGCGGGGCGCCTGGGGCGGGGCGCCGGTCCTCCCGCGCGGCAGGGGGCGCTGTGGGCCGGGCGGCGCCGGGCCGGGCGGCGGCCGCTCCTGGAGAGAGCGGCCCCTTTTCCGGGTTCCCTCCTCCTCCTCCTCCTCCTCTTTCTCCTCCTCCTCCTCCTCCTCCTCCTTCCTCGCCGCGGCTGCCCCTTTCCCGGCCGGCGGCCGCCGCTGCTGGTGCCGCCGTCGCCGCCGCCTCGGGCCGCGAGCCGAGCAGAGGCCGCCGCGCCGCGCGAGAGCCGCCCGCCCGCCGCCCGCCGCCCCCGGGCCCGGCCGCCCGGCCGCCCGGCCGGCGCCCCCCGCGCCCCCGCCCCGCGGCCCCGCGGCCCGGCCTGGCGTGGCCGCCCGGCGCCGCGCTCCGCCTGCTGCTCCGGCCCGCGGCCCGCCGCCCGCCGCCCCGCGCCCCGCGCCCCGCCGCCCCCGGCGCCCCGCGGCGCCCCCCGGTCCCGCCCGCCATGCCCGGCCCGGCCGCGGGCAGCAGGGCCCGGGTCTACGCCGAGGTGAACAGCCTGAGGAGCCGCGACTACTGGGACTACGAGGCTCACGTCCCGAGCTGGGGGTAAAGCCGCCGCCCCGGCCCCCGCCCCGGCCCCGGCCCCGGCCCCCCGGCCCGGAGGGGGTGGGGGCAGACCGGCCCCGGCGCCCTCTCCCCCCGGCCCCCCTGCCCCCCGAGGGGCGCCCCGGGTGCGGGGGAAGCGTGGGGTCCGGGCCCGGCCTGGCGGGAGGGCGGGAGCGGCCCCTTCGCCCACGTTGGGCTCGGCGGGGCGGGGTGGGGAGGCCACAGCTGTGCCCCCGGAGCCCTCACCATCCCCTGCCTGGTCTCTAGCTCTTTTGAAGTGAGTCTGGATGGGGCCACGTTTTTTAAAAAAAAAAAGACGCCCCGGTTCCCGGAGCCAGGCAGGCGCGAGGCGTGGAGGGCGGGGGTGAGGTGCGGGGCAGGTGCGGGGCGCCCCGCTCCCCCATCCCCATCCCGATCCCGATCCCGATGGGCTCAGAGCAGGGCCTTTCTCCCTCCTCTCGGCTTAGGAGGGAGCCCGCCCGACCCGGGGTGCCTGCTGCCGGCCGGGGCCTTGGGATGCGGAGGGAGTGGTGGCCGGCGGGACAGGCACTTCCAAGGGCTGGAAGCATGGCCGTGGGGGCCCCGTGCTTGGTGGTGAACCCCAAGTCCTGGCACTGATGTGTCCCTCTTTGCCTTTCACAGTAATCAAGATGATTACCAGCTGGTTCGGAAACTTGGTCGGGGGAAGTATAGCGAAGTGTTTGAGGCCATCAACATCACCAACAATGAGAGAGTGGTGGTCAAAATCCTCAAGGTGAGTGTCTTATGAAGTGGCATTGCGACCCCTGTCCTCTCTGCCCCCCACTTTATCCCCCCCCCCCCCCACAGGTCAAAAGGGGACATCCTAGAGCACATGTGTCAAACACAAGGCCCGCGGGCCAAATCCGTCCCGCCAGGCCTTGCAATGTGGCCCGCACCGCGCTGTCATCACTGCACTGCGCTGCGTTTCCATCACAGTGACAGTTTATGACTGTTCAGTAAACCATTCGGCCCGCGATTTAGGCTGGATTTTAGATTTTGGCCCCTTCTCTGATTGAGTTCGACACCCCTATCCTAGAGGGAGCAGTCCCAGCCCTCACTGTCCCATCGCGGGGGTCCGATGTCCCCCCAGTTCCTCCTCCTACGCCATTTTCTTGAGAGAAAAGACGCAGGCCTGTTTGAAAGCTCAGCGTGATCGGTCAGGAGCATCCTTGTTTTGAAATGTAATTCCAGCCCCCCGAAAGCGAAAGTCCCAAAGGGGCTTTTGATACAAAATGAACAGGTATTCAGAAGCAAGAGAAGCCTGATGAGGGAGGTCCCGCCATTCCAAGGGCCCAGTGGCTGGTCCTGCCTCTCGGTGGCTCTGAGTTATTCCCGAAGGAAAGTTGGGAAAACTGGCGGCAGCTTCCAGGATGAGGTTCGCAGCCCGAATAGAGGGAAGTGCCTCCCAGGAGGACGGCTCCTTTCTCCTTTGGGGATAAAAGTTCCAGGTGGGGTGGATGGAGCGAGCCAGCTGCCCTGGAAGAGTTAGTGGTGGTGGTGGTTGTTTTTTTTTTAATCAGCCAGTAAAGTGAAATGGGGAGCAGTAGATGAGTACACTCACAATCGCTAAAGTAATCATCGGAGCAGCAGAGTCTGGGCACGGCGTAGCAGCCGAGTTTGACCTTCTGCCATCTCTCGGATGAAGACGCGTTGTGTTCTTCGTGAGCGTGAGGAGTTGGCTCCATTCTCCTCTCGGTAGCTGGTTGTGTCGCTCTCACGCTGTTTTCTAGAATGTACTAAAAAGTCATTCTTAGAATGGGCGAGGGGTCCTTACTGCCAGATCGCCTGGTGTGCGCGCTTGGAATTCGGTGAAATTTGGAGAAGACGAAAGTGATCGTCTGAGCGCTTTCACAGGTGCACGGCCTCCGGTGTGGACAGTCGGCAGAGGCGCTGAGTGAGAATGTGGGGCCGAGGAGCTGGTTTTGTGTCTGAAGGACAGAGTAGGGCACCTGTGTCCTTGTTTAGTGTGAGGGTCAGGCTTACACTCAGAAAATCCCCTTTCAGAAAAGGGATGGACGCCCAGTGCCACCCTGGCTAATGAGGAGGCGGTGGACAGAGACGAGCAGTTTCCGATGCGGGGAGAGGGAGAGGAGAGTTGATGTTTGAAGATGTGGCGTTTGACTCCCCTCCTCCCTAAATGGGAATTGCACCTACAAAGTCACATGGCCCTTTTTTTTTTTTTTTTCACAAGTACAAATATTTAAAGAAAGGTTCCTTCCCCAGAGGTCAGCTGGGGAAGCATACAGCTTCCTGCTCTATAATGAGGGTAAATGTGAATGTAAGCTACAGAAATTCTTTCTAGGAAGTAAGCAAGACATACATTGAAATTAGCGATATCCCTATTTCACTGCTGTGCATTCAGAAAGATGAGCTGCTTACTCAAAAGCAAATCCGGAAAAACTTTTTTTAAAATATAGTTTTTATTAATTTCAGAGGGGGCGAGAGAAACATCAGTGATGGGAGAGAATCATGGATCGGCTGCCTCTTGCACGCCCCCGCCTGGGGATCGAGCCCACCACCTGGGCCTGTGCCCTGACCAGGAATCCTGATTCATAGGTTGACGCTCAACCACGGAGCCACTCCAGCCCAGCAAAGTTGAAACTTTTGAGTGATGGCAGCATTTTTCAAATGAGTGCAGCTTCCTTTGTTTTGTCTTGTTTTGTTTGTTTTAAAGGAACAGCATTCAGATGTACGCATAAATAACAGTACATTCTTTAGGAGAGCATCACAATGCTCATTAGTCATCCTTGTAGAGGACTTTATAGGGTCCCTTGCTGATAGTTGTCCCTGTTGAGAAGATTTGCACTATACTTTGTTTAGGGAATCCAATATGGAAGCCGAAGGTTATTTTTACGGAGAGAAACCGAAGCACAAAAAAGAACTCTAAGATCACTATGTTGAACTGAGCCTTAGCCAGAACTCTTGTTTCCTATCTCTTCCTGCTGCTTACTGCTCGTTTTAGCGTTGTAACGAAGAGCAGGCTAAGCCCCAGGTTCTGGAATAAGACTGGGGAGGCCCCGTGGAGCTCTGGGTAATGAGGCATTGTTTCTGGTTTCTTCTCGACACGATGCACGTTCTTTTCGGGGTGCGGCATGGACCACCCTGCTTCCTCTGGTGAAAACTTCGTTCACTTTAATGTTTTTCAAAGCGCTGTGACATTTCTATCCAGATTTTTATGTGAAGGATAAGGGTAAGAGGCTGCTGATGGTATTATAGTGGTTTTCTCATTGTTCTGACAGGCTGGATTAAAGTAGATTTTAAAAAAGATTATTTTTTAAGAGTAGTGCATTTATTTATCCAAAGTTGTGCTCTACTCAGAAAAGTTGAAAAAAATTTTTTAATCCTCACCCGAGGATATTTCCCCATTGATTTTCAGAGAGCGTGGAAGAGAGAGGGAAAGAGAGAAATATCAGTGTGAGAGAAACACATCGCTTGATTGCCTCCTGTATACACCCAACCAGGGCATGGGCTGGGAAGGGGCATGCATCCGACGTATGTGCCCTTAACCGGAATCGAACCTGGGACCCTTCGATCTTCAGGCTGACACTCTATCCACTGGACTAAACCGGCTAGGGCAGTGGTCGGCACACTCATTAGTCAACAGAGCCACAGTTTGCCGACCACTGGGCTAGGGCAAGAAGTTGAAATTTTGACTACTAACTACTATTGTGTTTGGTTTTAGGGAATTAGGTCCTTAACAGAGTACCAGCTGCTCACAATTGGGAGAAATCTAGAAAAAGCTTCCTCTTGCTGTAGGCCTAGTATATTTTAGCTGCAGGATATGAGAATGTGTGGGTGATGAATGACCACAGGAGTTTTGTATCGTTTAATTCGAATCAGCAGTAGATTTCTAAGCGTTTTATTGATCTAAACAAATTGGTTACTAAGAGGCTTTAGGAACTTAGAGATTGGGGAGCAGCCTTGCCATTGTGGCTCAGTTGGTGGGGCGTCGTCCTGGGCACCAAAGGGTTACTGATTCAGATCCCAGTCCATCAGCGTCTTACTCTCACTTAGATGTTTCTCTCTCCTCCCCTTCCTCACTCTCAAAAAAAAAAAAAATTGGTGAGAGTAATTTTATCGTCTATCCTGAAGTGAAATTCTGAGGCCAAAATCTTAAAAACTTTCCGTCTATGGGGGTGTATATAGTATATATGTATAATATATATATATATATATATATATATATATATATATTTATACACACACACACATATATAAAACATATGTTATATATTATATATTATATATATATATATATATATATATATATATATTTTTTTTTTTTTTAGGAAGAGAGAATCATTGATTTGTGTATGCACTCATTGGTTGCTTCTTGTATGTGCTCTGACTGGGGATAGAATCCACAACCTTGGTGTGTCAGGATGATGCTCTAACCAACTCAGCTACCCGGCCAGGGCTGGTTATGTCTTTTGTGGCAGAAATTGTTTGGAGGAGAAATGGGGGTGGGAGATGGTAAGGTTCACATAGCAGGGCAGAAAGCCGCTTCAGTGCCTCAAATTCCATCTTCTGATTCTGAAAAACCCATTTTTCACTTCTTTTGAGGTGCTGCTTAGGAAAGATAAAAGCATTTGTCCATTTTGGACAACTTTTAGCATTTTGTGAACACCACTGTGCGTGCATGTTAGCCCTTCTCAGGGTCCTTGGGACCCTTTAAGTTGAACGATTTCCTAATTAGGAGTTAGGAGCTGTGCCATGTTTTTAAAAGCAAGACCCCGAGAGAGCATGCTGCGTGCTTAGGGTCAGGCGACCAGGCGGGGAAGCAGCGAGGTTAGGACTCCTCTCCTGGGAGCCAGGAGGAGCACAGTTAGGACGTTTGCAGGATACTTGCCTTCTTGATGTACTGGGAGGATGGACGCACACTCACCAGAAGTCAGCGCACTTGTCGCTGGTGATTTGGGAGTACTCTTCTGAAAGGAAATACTTTGGTGGCTGCTGAGTGAAATTGGGTACAGATGGGGTCTGATTTATATCCTCAGCAGCACGTTTAATGCACAGTGAAATGTTCCTTTACTTTCTAGGTTTGAATCCTCAGACCAGTGTTTTTACATTTTTAAATCCATACAGTTCCTCCAAGTCTCATGATCACTTGCCATTTTTAAGTTGATGGTTTACTCCTTTAATATATTAGATTTTTTTTAGAGAGTTAAACCATGTGTGAAAATAATGTCTTGATACCCATTTTTATATGTAGAGCATGGCTCCAGATGCCTAATCTCTAGCAGGCGTCTTCAAACTACGGCCCGCGGGCCACATGTGGCCCGCAGAGGAGTCTGATCCGGCCCGCCAGGTTTTTTGGGCAGTGAGCGCAGCCGAGGTGTTACAGTAGGAATTAGTAGTTCATATAGTCCGGCCCTCCAGCTCTCTGAGGGACCGTGATCTGGCCCTCACTTTAAAAAGTTTGAGGACGCCTGCTCTAGAGCCCACTTTAAGATCTGCTGCCTCAAAATCAGGGTGGGATAGTGTGAGAAGTGCTTAAATGGAGAGCAGAAGACGGGTTCTAGAAGCAGCTTGATTTATACTCCTTGGACTTTTTTCTCATCTGTAAAATGGGTATGCCTTTCTGGTTTAACTCAGTACTGTTGGGAGAAGCAGATGAGATATAGATAAACGGGAAGGTAGAGAGAGAGGATGGTGTGCTAGTAATCTACAAAGTCGTTTTCTTTCCTGACGGAGAGAATCTCGGGAAACAAACTGCCTGGATTATGATGTTAA